CTTGGGGCACTCTGCTTGACCCAACTTTGTTAATGATTACTTAAAGGTCTGTGTTATCCTTTTTTCTTATGTGACAAGAATGACAATATTGTCTGTGACTGTGGAAGCATTTGTATCATGTTAACTTTTATGATGTGATACAAATAACAAACTGAACCTCTTGCATGGTCAGGGAGGGAAGTCACTATTTTTTGTTATATGTATTTTTCAGTTAACAAAAGCTGTTTTCTAAAATGATTTTTAAGAATTAACAATCACATCATAACTTATGCTCCACTGATATTTTTTTCATTTAAGCATAGAAAGAAAAAAGTGCAAATAATGCACTTGGATATTGGACTGATAAATGTGGTATAAATGGATGGACAAATAGATTTAACTGCAGTAGCTGTCATTAGAAACTTAATATTTCCAACAGTCAAAGTAACTGAAATACCATACCATTTCCCTATATTTAGAGTAGGAAATAATTATGAAATATTAGCACATTTCTAACTATTCAGATAGTAGATATTACATTATTTAATCACATAAAAGAAACATTGTTTTCCTGAATTTATAAAATGTTAATTTAAAAATATTTTTATCAAATTACATTCTTCAATGTTTCAGTTAGTGCAGTGGGGGTCGCCGCTTGTGTAGGGAAAGCCCCTGGCGGGCCGGGCCGATTTGTTTACCTGCCCCGTCCGCAGGTCCGGCCAATCACGGCTCCCACTGGCCGCCACTTCCAGAAGCCCCCGTCGGCCTGCAGTGGCGAATCGTGGCCAGTGGGAGCCGCGATCAGCCAGACCTGCAGACGGGGCAGGTAAACAAACCAGCCTGGCCCACCAGGGTCTTTCCCTGCACAAGCAGTGACCCCAGCTTGAGAAACACTGAGTTAGTGTAAAGTAATTTACAGTATAGCTAGTTGTAAATTGTCCAGGCTTTCGGGGTCACTAATTTTCACTATATTGAGTATTGTGTTTTAACTGTTGGAAACATAGTAGGCCAATCTATTCAAAACAGCCACAAGAAGTAAATTTTATATTGTTTTTCACATTATTGATCATTATATTCGGATTAACTGACAATTTAGGTGTGAACTTCAACCTCTCGATTGAATTTTTTAGTCCAGACTGTAATTCTTCTGGAAGGAATAAATGTGGAAACTGTCTCAGTGGTCCACCTTCAAATGGACCAAGTTTAAACTACAATAAAACAAAACAAACAAAAAACAATGTGTTGGTCTTACCTAAGTGGGGCAATAATGCCTCTTTGCCTTCTGAAGTCAACATGCACCACAGACAGCCTTTCTTTGCGAAGAAACAGCCTGTCCACAAAAACAAAACTCACCTTTATCCTTTTAAAAAACTTAAATCCAGTGCCCAATAATCGTATTTTGCATTTGGAATGCAAGAAACTGCAGGTGGCACAACCCAAGGCTTAATTCTAGCACTCATGGCTCTGACATTGTGCCATTTAGGTTGTTGAATCAGGTAGTGCCTGTGCAGCTACATTGCAAAGGAGTTATTCAGATCTTCCAATTTTTTTAAAGTGTCAAGTCCTAGTACGTTAACCCCCTGTACTATTTTATCTTTTTTCTTCTTATGATGGAGTTACATTTTAATACAATACAACAGTAATCTAGAAATGTATTTTAATACATCTGAGTGAGCCTCTTGGGAACACACTCATTATAATAATATGAGGTCTGCACCTTTAAAAATATTTTTGCAAATGTAATTTTCAAATCGGCAGTCATGCTAATAGGTCTTTGGCTGTCTTTTGCTTTGCCAAACTGTACGTGTAATAGCAACTTAAAGCATAAATTGCCTTTCTGTGATTAACTGCATGTGCATGCGCACCCCCGCACCCCCCCCCCCACACACACAAATTCTCTGAGCAGCCAGTTTTCAGATCTAATTTTTGAACAATAAAAGCACAACTAAGGGGCAGATGCTTGGCGCTTAAAATGGTGCACTAGCAATGTAGTACTCTTAGGGCATGAGTTACCATGAGTAATTATACTTTCATAGCTTTCCATTGAGGGCCATTTATATTTACTGTCTTACAATGAGAATCCAGTGAAACATTCCTGATATGACTGCTACCCTAAAACCTGTTCCTTTGCTCCAAGAATCCCCTGGGTCTAGGCATGAATGTGAATTTATATGCTGTCTGTGTAGCAGTTGACTCAAGTCAGATATTGAGTAGTTCTTTGTTGTCATCTTTTAAATGAGTTATATGTGAAATTGCTGCACTTGTCAGTTGTTGCTAGTTCCATTAAACCAGTCTGTATGTTTAGGACCTGACCCTGTGTGAGTAAATATTTACTCACATGAGTTGTCCCACCGAGTGAGATAAGATACATTATACTATTAAATCATGCAACGAAATAAAAAATATAAGTACCTGGCACCTTATGTTGTCATTTATTTTCACCTGTGTGATGTGTGTCTAAAATACTTCCATTCTGATTTAATACCACTTTACACATACTTTGCACAGTGGTAAATGAGAATGCACGTTGTCAGGCAGTGGGGATGCAAATCCTAGATAATTATTTATACAATTGTTTATTATTTTCTTAGTAAACAAATATGAAGGTCAACTATATTTTGATTTCCCTATATGGACTGAACAATAATGTCTGTTCCAGGCGGTAGGCAGCCTAACGAGATCAGAAATACAATCAAATTCACACAAGAATAGCAACCAAAAGTCTTTCTGTGCCCCAAAACATCATCCATACCAACAAAACTAACCTAGCTCCTGCAACACACTAATGCCCTTAATAAATAAAATAAATGCCACTATTGAGAACCCCCAAATCTCTTCAGTAATCTACACATATCGATGAACTATGCAGACTCAGTCATCAGAATCAAGTAATTTGAGATAAGCAGCAAGGAAAGAATTCTAAAACAGAGAGACACATAGGTGGAATTCCCTTGCCAGCAGATTCCTCTCCTATAAACACTTTTGCTAATCACAGCTAATTTAATGCGGGAACATGTACAATGCTGCAACTGAGATCAGAGTCCAGTTGTTTTAGGTGATGAACATATACACTTTAAGAAACAGTCTGTGCCCAGAAAAGTTTAAAATTTAAACAATCAGACAAAGAGTGTGAGGAAGGAAGTTTCTTTAACGCCATTTTATATTTTGAGAATTGAGGCACAAGAAGATGAAGTGACTAAGCTAAGGTCCTGGGGGAATTCTGTTGTAGAGGTAGGAATTGAACCTAGCTCATCTATGTCCCAGTTGTTCCTTTTCATCTGAAGTATGAACTTTCAGTGTTGCAGCATGAGAAATTTGTTAGCTCATACAGGGACTTTGTAGTGCAAAGGGGTGATCTCTGAATTAATGCTAATACTGTTTATGCTTCACATACCAAAGGGATACAATGGCCTAGGCCTAGTTTAAGGATAGGTGACCTCCTGCACATCACATTGGATATAAACAACTCAGCCATACAGAAGTCATGGGCTTCATCCTTATCAAAATCATGAATAATTGTTAACTTATTAAGCATAGAGCTCACATTATTCAACATAAAGTAAGGATCTTGATCTCTGACTCCTTATTCTTCTGGGAGATAACGTATGTACCTAATAAAATTACTCACTCTGAATTTTTCCTGCATATTTGCCCAATCCAATACCCCAACCTTTTGAAATCCAGCCACTCTCCAGGTCACACTATATCAGCAATCATAGTGGCATTGCTTCTCGGCCATCCTAAAATGGCCACTGAATGTCTCAGCTGCCACAGCTGGGTGTCCAAATAAGGTTCTTCACTCAGACTACAAACCTCATCTTCAACCAAAATGGCCTTCCACCAATTCCTCCCAATCATTCACCTTCCAAACATATACCATTGCGAAAAGGACCCACTTCAGCTCAATCCTCCCCAGTCTGCTACTCAAAGAATTACACTCATTTAAGCTTTCTTTGTGTAGAACAAAATTCTTCTTTCTCCACAGCTCCAATTATCAGGCAGGGCGGTAATGCTAAAGCCCCTTTCCTCTTCTCCCCTTCTGTCACCACTGTTGGCGTAATACAAGAATTCCCTAATTTTGAGGGCCTTTTACACCTTCTCCCTCTGACCTCCCCCCCCCCCCCACACACCACACACATGCACACACAGTATATCCCCTCCCCATAATATTTCAATAGAAGTTTTCCAATGCGGTAACCACCAATGACATTCTTATCCTGGCCTGGAATATTGGAGGGTAGCCCCCCCCATTCATTCCTAGTCCCACCCACCATTATGCCCAGGAAATCAGAGCAACCCATTCAAAAAAGTTAATAAAATGCAGCTCTCTCCCTGTTTTTGGTGAGACTCTAACCTTACATAAAACAAAGATGGCCCAACCAACCAATCCCTGCTATTGAGTCTTCTTGAGTAGTCTATTTTCCCTGAGTCCCACATCCGCAAGTGTCGCTCCCATCATCACCATCACACAGTACAGACTGTTCCTACTGTTGTAGCAAAACCAACCTCCCATCTACATGATAATAAATGGAGGGAGAGACAATCCCAGTTTCACTGGTAACTCAAGATTTGAGGGGTAGGGTGTAGGTCACAATGGTTTGGTCGCTACTGGAACAGCAGATGTTTTTTATCCAAACTAAGCAGGATGTGATGTGCAGCCCAGGCTTTCAGGGAGCAAGGGAGCAGAGTACTTCAGTGAGCACATATTTGGGGGTTGTGATTACACAGGGGTATTTCTGACACTGCTTTTGTCACAGCTGGAATGGGGTGAGCTCTTACAGGTAAATTGGGGGAGGGGGCTGAGGGGAGAGGCTGGGTATATGTGAAGACATGCTTGGTATACTGGATATAAATTCATGTGATTTGTTTTATTTGCATTTTCACATTTCAAGTGGGCAAAATATTACAAATGATACATTGAAATAATTACCTTTCCAATGAGTGAACTATGTTACTGAAATGAACAATTTATCATGGTCCTTTTATTCAATAATGTTAACATTTTTTTTTTTAATTTTCAGAAACTTCTGGTCAAACTGTTACTGTGGTTACACAAACCGTGGTAACCAAGGAAACCACCATCTCCAAAGTAGAAATGCCATCTTCCTTGCTTCTGGAGGTGCCTGCTCTGGCTGACTTTAATAAGGCCTGGGCAGAACTCACTGACTGGCTTTCTTTACTGGATCGAGTGATAAAATCCCAGATAGTGACAGTGGGTGATCTTGATGACATCAACGACATGATCATCAAACAAAAGGTATGAGAAACATTTAGACATTAATTTTTGTGGTTGAAAGCCTGTAACAGCTATTAAAAGGGTAATCGTTTCAGCAGGGAACATAAGAGGAAACATTTAGATTAAGGTAAGTAACATACAAATTCCACAGTTAATCTGTTTTAAATTGACTTCTAGGATTTGAATTTGAAAATAACTGAAAAAGGAACAGAATAGTTTTTTTTTCATAATGAAAACTGCATTTATCAGAATATCAGAATGCCCCCTTTTATGAACATGTTTGTGCCACAGCAGTGAAATCTCTGTCTGTCGATCTTCTTTGTAATGCACCCGTCATTATGGTGTCACAGGCTAGGGGGTCAGATATGGAACACGAAAAGGGGAAGGAAATATATAGAAAGATCCATGATGTAAACAGAGAAAAAAATATACGGTTCTATACCTTTTTCAAGTTTGAGTGTTTCTGTAAGAACTTTGAGAGGCTTGTATCCTGCTGTCATCCTGTTATGAAAAGCTCCTCAGTCCCTTTATACAAAAGAGTAGCTTATTAATGCAAGTGTTTTGTCAGCAAACTGCGTAAGTATTAGTCATCTTTGAAAACACACAAAAATATGGAAATACATGTGCATAGACAAAAAAACAAAACTTTAACTTCAGCAACTCTGTGGCAATAAAAGTAATTTGTTATTATATAGCCTGAACGTAATTACCTGCCTTCCAGATTTAACAGTGTTCAATATAAAAGATTCAGCTTGCCTGTGCAAAACTTTAAGTGCTAAACTTCCATTCATTTGAGCTCTTGTAAACTGAATTTATGGCTTTGTATTATAAAATATTCCTCTGATTCATCCTCCAGAAACGAAGCCTGATTATCGCAGAGGATAGAAGTTAAAATTCTTTTTTTATTTAAAGAAAAAAAGAAAATAGAAAGAATGGAGAAATTTTGTATGATCTTTCTCTTAAACAATTTAACAGGATAAGGATTTATTCAAATACATAAGCAGCTAGGTCCTTTTCTGTTTCTTTTTTGTGTATTTCATTTTTTTCACAACTTGTGATTATTTGACATAGGTTGTTTCCCTCCTCCCTCCTTTTCCCCCACACCCTCTCCGATACTTTTATTTTGTATTACCTTCCTGAGGTAGTAAAAGGTTTTGGTATTCATCTCCACCAGTGATTATAGGGCCGGTCAATATTTTCAGAGTAAATCTGTACCATCTCTTAAGAATGTCATAATTGTATTGGGTTCAACATAATATACTATGGACACTAGATAAAAATAATTGTAAGCAGTTTCAAAACATGTTATTTTGACCATTCCTAAGAGCCATGAAACCCAAACAACAGACATGTTGGATGATTAAGATTTTTGTACTTTTTGTAAAGCCTTAGATTGAAACATGTTGTCAAATACTTCATTTTAAATGATCTGATCATTTTGATATTTAAATAGTAATAGCCAAGATAATAAATCCTTAAATGTGCATGCCTTTAATTTGGGAGGAAAAACACAACTAAATAAGCATAGTGTCCCTATATACTGTTATCAGATTGGTATAATAATCTAAAATAGATCCTAAGGAGCTGTTATAATCTGCCAGGTTAATAATAGTCTACAAATAAAGTAGAATTTTTGCAATACAGTCTATAATTTATCAGGTCAAATATATACCTTTACAACAATGATCTGTTGTGAAATCTTCAAAATTTATTGAGTTTCATAAATCACATTTTCAGAATTAGTCTGCTATCAAAATACTTACCTTATTAAGAGCTATTATCCCATAAAAAATGAAAGTTGTCTCTTTTTTCTATGTACACTAAAATATAGATCAGTAGATGAAAATATCAAAAATATATCCTGGTATTGGGCAGTCTAGGGCTTCCAGCACACATTGCCTATTTCTTTCATTTTAGCTCCATTATTCTTTATGATCTGCACAGTACTACACTTCTTTTTCCTTTTTATTGAAAATTTTACAGGGCAGGACTATTTTGGTTGACTGTTGAGATTCTTCCTATTCTTTTTAGCCAGCATAAACTATCTGGGTTCTAATTTCATAGATATATAATTATTATTTCTCCAGCTAAACTCCAGAAGAATTTTGAAGCATAAATGGTGAAGGACCATAATACTTTTCCTTGCTCTATGTTAATTTACCAGATTTTAGCACTGTAAAGTGTAGTTAAACAATAGCTTTTCACTGCTTCAGCTTATTTCTTAGAGAGTATCTTCATGTGGACTTAAGTCTTCCAAAGAACATGCTCATTTTGCCTACATTGTACGCATCTGTCTTTCCTTACTTACTCCTTCATCTACTCTAGACTTCTCTAGGAGTCTGAAATCTTCACTCATAGTGATCTCCTTTACTAACAAAAATGACATCTAATGATATCCACCATTTTCTCTGGGGCACCATAATTTTGAGCAAAATTCTACAATGTCTACATGTTTTAAAATTAGCCAGTTTATATCTTTATCTGAACCTACCTAAATTTCTATTTATCCAATATAATGCAGTTCTATCTATCTACCTACCTACCTACCTACTAAACTACACAGCCTATTTTTCATTAGTAATTGCCCAAGGTTCCAGTACTGTAAATTCCTCCTGAGAATCCATGACTCCTGACTCAGTCCTGTGATGACCATGAGAGCAGATGTATGGTCCTTCAGCCTGGGACAGAAAGTCATCAAACCTGATTCTGTTCGTGACTGTATCACTGAATTGTTATGTGAATTTAGCCAAGTAATTTAGCCTATGGCTGGTTTCAGGACTGACAACTAATTTTAGATGTCCCAATTTTGTGGTTCCCAAGTTGATACAAATAAGGCCTGCTTCAGGAGGTGCTGGGCACCCACATCAAGTGAAGTAAATATGAGCTGTGGATGCTCAGCTACACTGAAAATCAGGTCAAAGGTGATTCAAATTGAACACCCAAAATTAGTATCCACTACTGAACATGTTGTCCATTTAATTTCTATATGCCTCAATTTCTGTACCTATAAAACAGGGATGATAGTACTTACCTCACAAGGGGTGAGGCACATTGTGATCTGTGCACATGGATTGTTGCACCAATGCAAAGCCCATAAGCCTCAAAATCCGGGTCTGTGTGGGTGAACTGATTTATGGTGCTGCAGTTTTGGGGGATCCAACCCAAGATGTCTTAAATGCTGAGTATCACCCTGTAAAAATTGGGTCTCATAAAGGTGTCTCAAATTAGGCATCCAAAAATAGACACACACAAAACTTTTGCAAATGTTGTCCTTTTTTATACCTTGCTCTAGAAAGATGAAACAAATCTTTGTTTTATTTCCGTATCTTTCCTTTTAAAAGAAAGAAGAATTTTTCTTTAATAAATATAAAAGTTAAATAATATTTTAAAGCACCAAAAAGAAAACCCTCTATAAACCTGGCAGTACATGTAATAGGGTATTTTCCAAATTGTCCAAGTAAAAACAAGTGACCTTAAGCTGTCCTTTCCTCCACAACAGCACATAATGTTATTGAGACTAAATCTCTAAGGGCATTTTGCTCAGGTTCATTTCACTCTCATTGTGTCACAAGATCATAGACACTAACCCTGCCACATTTATGAAGGAAAAACATTTAAGACATCATTAGCCCTCAAGTGAACTTTGCTTGAAAGTGGTCCCAAAGAATTGGAACTGTGAATGGTTACAGTAATAAAGTATCAAGTACAGAGCGTGTGTGTGTGTGTAACAACAAAAATGTGATCTGGCCTTAGTGTTACAGGAAGCAGTATGACTTTAAAATATAGTAAGCAATGCATATGTAGTGTAGAGAAAGGAATTTTACAACATAGTAAAAAAGTATAATAATGTGTAATAATTTCATCCTATTTGTAATTACTGTTTCCCAGATTTATTTAAAAAAATAAGAGTGGGACCAGATTTTTTTTTGTAATAATATATCTTTCTTGAATGCAAGTCTACTAAAGTGTTTTTAGAAGTACATAAATACATAGTTCTCTTCTGTATAGTTTAAGAAACAGACACTTTAAAACCCACAGAAAATAATTAATATTGGTATAAGAGTTTTAATTACTTTGCCATGTATTCATAAAGGGAAAAATACTGTACTGTACACTCTGACACAAAGGACTGATCTTTTGCAAAGCTGTGATATGAACAGCATGTTGTCTGAAAACTGACTGAAAAAACAGAATTATATGGAATTTATCTTCCATAACCTGGTTCTATAGCTAAAGTTGAGGAAAATGATGAAAATAAATAACATACTAAGATGTAGACTGCTGAGAGAATCAACGTAATAAAGTTCAATTCAGTTGGTTTCAAATGATGATTCATTTTATTCTCATGACTTCAGAGCAGTCAGAAAGATCTGGACTTAAGGAACAGTTTATTTTCTTTGTGAAAGAGGAATGAGTGAACACAGACATAACTTTTTTTTCCCTGTGCTTTATTATGGAAAGGTGGTAACTTCTCCAGAGTGAAGGTGTCAACAAGCTTTCTTATAAAGCCCTGTTTGGCATCATTATAAATATAACTTGGAAAATGTTTGTTCTATAATTTGTCATATTTCCCATGAAAGCAGAAAGAGATCGTGCAAAGTTTGAAGATAATTAATCACACTGTTTTTGAGTTATAGGTAATTAAAATGTAAGGCTCACTTGAGATTTTGACTTTTGTCTGTTTCTTTGTCTTCCTCTAGTTCCAAAACAACTTTAGACTTTTCACATAGTTAAATCCCATTGAAAACACATGTGCCAGCTGCATTTGAAGAAAAGAGCTTTTAATTTAGCAAAGTTATTAGTGAGTTGCATTGTGGGTTGTTTTGGGTCTAACCCTGCACCCACTGATTTCAATAGTAGACATTTGCTATCGACTTGTGAGGCAGCAGGATCGATCAGGCACAATATGTGTGTGAACATGCTGCCTTCTATTTAGCAGCTGCAGCTTTGAAACAAAGTCAAGGCCCTTCTATAACTAATAGAAGTGTTCCATTAGCCTGTATGCTTTGGAACTGCAGGGC